AAGTACCAGAAGGCAGAACTAGAAGCAATGGTTAGAAACTGAACAAAAAGAGAAGCAACCTAGAACTAAGGAGAAACTTCCTGAGAGTAAGAACAATCAACCAATGGAACAATCAACCAATGGAGCAGCGACATCTTGCATTCAAAAGAGGTGGGTGCTCCAACACCCACAGGCTTTTAAAAAGGGACTGGTCAAGCATTAGCCTAAAATGGTATAGGGTTTCCTGTCTGGACTGAAGACATCCAAGGTTCCTCCTAACTCTGTTATTTTGCTATTCTGAAATCAATTGGAGGGATAACATATCCCAGAAACTATGGAAGTGCTATTCCAAGATTGCATGGTAACCTATGGCCAACTGGAAGAGTTCTTCTGTTCTGCTTCTAGGCATTACCTTTTTTAAATTAAATAAATATATACATACATAAATAAATAAACACATAATAAATAAACAAATTCTATATGTATCATTAAATGAATTTCAAATGTTTTTATCCACACCAGCACATTTATGTTCCCCACCATTTTTTTCACTGCAAAATAGAAATAATTGACAAGTTTATTATTTTGCCTCGGTTCAGATCTAGAAACCTGGCAGATTCTGCTTGCTTTAAAAGTTGTTGCTTTTTTAAAAAAATCAAAAGAGCCAGTGGTGAAGGCACTAGGCTAGAAACCAGGAGACTGTGAATTCTAGACTCTGTTGGGTGACTTTGGACCAAACACTTTTGGCCCAATTCATTCCAAAGACTTGTTTTTTTCCTGGAAAAAACATGTAAAGAAAGGAGTGTTAAGTATCTTTGAATCTTTGATTTATACATAAAATTAATACAAGAAGGATAAAAAAATAGTCTGGAGAAAACACTGAGCTTGATTCTTTTCTTGCAGATGTTTCATTGCCCAAAGTAGTATTGGTGGTGCTACCAAATTTTGATAATAAAATGTCTGCAAGAAAATGTTGTGACTGAAAGGATTGATCCTGCTGTGAGTTTTGATTCTGATAACTCTGAGGATGAAAGGCTGGAGCCTGCTGAGAATTTGGAGTCTGAATTGTTAGAAGACACAGATGTGAGCCAGGGGGATGAGAGGTTATCACACAGACATTCTTCGCCTGAACCCTCGACCTCATTCATGCCTGCAATTGATCCACAAAATGAGTCAGAAGAGTCGAGCGAGGAAGCTGAAAGATCGTGGCTTGATGCCAGAACCAGAAGGAGGCTGAAACGTCAAGCTGTGAGGAGGCATCAAGCCAGACATTGATTTAGGGAGATTGACACGCCCATCTAGGTGGTTTACGGAGGCAAACTCAGTTAGAAGGGAGGGCGAGTCAGTAATTAGCACGTTGCCTCAAAGTGTATAAAAGAACACAGCTGTGTGGGGAAAGATTGTCAGGAACAAAGTGACTGATTACGTGCAGAGGTTTTTCAGCAGAGGCTCGGAGCTTTGAGAATTTGTACCAGGACTGTGTTGATAAACAGGGCGTGTGGAATATAATATTGTAGAACTCCTTTCTGTTGAATTTAAGTTTTGGAACGGCTGCTTTTGGTTTTGTGTTGTTTGAACTTTGAAGGGGGAGCCATAACAAGAAAACATCCAAACTCAGAGAGCAGCAAGGTTCCTGTCAAAGTTAGCATCACTACACGGGTGCAGCACATAATGTATGGTCATCAGTTTTCTTGTATTCCTATCCAGGCTGTCCAGCTCTGCCTGTGTCCAGTTTACAATCCCAGCAATATATGGGTATGGCCCAGATATTTATAGCCTTGATGGTGTTACCGCCATTCAGTTTGCTTTTTAGAAGTTTTCTGATCCTTTATGTGTATTCTTTGCTGATCACATTTTTCACTAGCCCATGCTTTATATTGTCCATCTGTAGTATCCAGGTATTTGTAGGCTTCAGGTTGGTGGCACTTGATGGTTTGTCCATTGGGCATTTCAATTCCATCACTTTCTATGATCTTCCTTTTCTTCAGTGCCACTACGGTGCATTTGTCCAGGCCAACTCCATGCTGATGTCAGTGCTGAAAGTTTGAACTGTATTGGTCAGTGACTGGATTTCAATTTCTGATTTTCCGTATAACTTCAGATCATCCATGTACAGCAGGTGAGAGATTTTCTGTGATTTTTTAACAGTTTAATAACCCAGGTTAGTTTTCTGTAAAATTGTTGACAGGGGGTTCATGGCGATGATGAACAGCAGAGGTGACAAAGAATCACCCTGGAAAATCCCTCTTTTGATGTTGACCAGTCTGTAGCTTTCACTTCCAATAAACAGTTCTGTTTTCCAATGCTTCATCACATTTGCAATGAAAGTACCAATGCACTTACATATTCCGATGACATCCAAGCACTTGATGATCCAGCTGTGCGGTAGTGAATCAAATGCTTTCTTGTAGTCAATCCAAGTTGTATGCAGATTTGTTTTTCAGCTTTTGCAATTCTCTAGAATCATTTCATCGATCAGGAGCTGATCTTTTGTGCCTCTACTTCTTTGTTTATTTCCTTTCTGCTCTACTGGCAAGATGTTATTTGCTTCTATGTAGTCCTGGGTCCTGTCAGCTATGATGCTGGTCAGCAGCTTGAACTGTCTACTATTGACCTCACCCCTTTCCTAAGAGGTCTGTAGGGGGCGTGCATAAGCGCACCATCGTGCCTACCGTCCCTGTCCTATTGTTTCTCTTATTCTTTTATTTTTCTTATATGTACCCATTTCATATATTCACAACTATGTATACACTTATACTTATTATCTTGTAAACAATTGGCAAATCAAATAAATAAATAAATAAATAAATAAATGGTTGGCAGACACATTATTGGCCTGTAATTTTCAGGTGTTGCTCCTTTTGCTGGATTCTTCTGTATCAAGTAGGTTTTCCCAGCTGTTAACCATTCACTGATGTTTCCTGTTTGCAGCATCTCATTGAATTGTTCAGCTATTTTTCCATGCAGGCTAGTCAGGTATTTGAGCTGAAAGACATGCAGTTGATCATTGCCAGGCGATGTCCAGTTCTTGACTTTTTTCACTCTGTTGCTTTTCATTTCAGTAGTTATTTCCAGTTGGTCCATTTTGTTCTTGGAGAATTTCATCTCAAAGTCTCTGATCAACCCAGCATTTTTGTTGTAACATTTCTCAGTCTCCCACAGGTCTTTCCAAAACTGAGTAGCTGCTGTTTTCTCAGGTTTTTCAATTTTTGTATCCCCCATCTAATTCAGACTCTGATAGAACCATCTTTGGTCTGATTGGAACAATTGATTTTGTTTGTACTGGATGACTCTGGCTTTGTATCTTTCAATTTTTCTTGCTGTTGCTGTTATCTGCTGCTTCACAATTTCCAATGCTTCATCATTTTTTCTTGTGTTGAGCCCATAATTTTTATCAGATGTTTCTTGATCTTTCTGTTCTTCAGCTTTTTCACCTACAAATTCTTCAAGTTGCTTGCATCTGCTTGCAGGCTCTTGATTTTCAACTCCAACCTGATTTTCCACTGCAGTTTTCCAGTTGATTTTCTAGGAGGCTACGGCTGTTGAATACCCAGTTTCAGGGTAGGCAAGCTGGTTTGTTTGTTCAATTGATGTTATCTGGACTGCTGCAAGTGCATAGTTTGCATCTATCATCAATGGTGCCAAATGTTTTCTAGGCACAGTCTTCAATGTTGGAAGCGTTCTTCTTTCTGCATTTGTTGCAGCATGTGCCAAGATTTTAGCTTTCAGTTCTTGCTGCCTGGCATTGAGTACTTCTGGTGTTTCAATGATGTCTTCAGGCTCTTGCTGATCCTGTTCTTACAAAATGTCTGCATTTTCTTCAAATTCAGGCTGTTCAGTTTCTCCAGATGTTATTGGAGTATTTTCTGCTGCCACTTCTGCTGTTCAGAAGTCTGTGTTCCCGTTTCAGAATTTTTCCATATTTCTTCAAGTTCGACTTCAGTGAGCACTTTGTTCCAAATGATGAATCATTGCTGATCGGCTAATCGTAATTCAGTTATCCTTGAGTCTGGGTATTCTTGTTTCCATAATTTATACATCCTTTTTTGGTAGCCAGTTGGTCCATTTTGTTGTTGTTGTTGTTGTTATTGTTGTTGTTGTTGTTGTTTTATTCATTAAACATGAAACTCAGTCAATTGAACATGTATCACATATATAATTGACTGGTGCTAATGGTTGATATGGATTGCTGCCAGCATCTAGGTATCAACCAATTGTTTTCTTAAGATGTGTGATGTTCTGAGTACCACAATTTTTTTTGCAGTTCTGCTGGTGTTATTGATGTATTCAATTGATGTATTCAATACAATTTCTTGATGTATTTTATAAAATTCTTGGACATGGTACCAAGTGCCCTGATGATAATGGGTATCACTGTTATGTGTTTCATTCATAATTGCGTAGTTTTGATGACCAGGTCATGATATTTCATGATTTTTCCAGTTATTTTTTATTATTGTTATTAAAATAATAATCTGATTTTCAAAATTATTTTTATTTCAGAAAGAGAGTAGAACACATTCTCAAATTGTCAATTAACAATTAGGTGGATTTTTTTTTAGATCAGTTATGTGGAAAATATTTAATAGATAATTAACTCTTCCTAGAATTGATCAAAATTACTGTAATGTATTTATCTGCTTAAAGCTCCAGAGATTTTCCAGAAAGCAGCAAAAACTATAAAGCATGGAAGAAAGAGGTTATAAACTAATCACAGTTCCATGGAGGGCATGGGGTGGTGGGAAGAGTCTAACAGGGCTATTGGGTTCATTTCCTCTAGCATCTGGTGGGTTTTTTCTTCCCTTTGATCAGACCAATTTCAGATTTGAACTGTAGAAATCTCAATCATTATTCAAGCATGCTTCTGTATCTCTATCGAAGTTAAAGGTTAGATTGATTATTTTCTCAGAGGAGGTGTGTTTGGAAAGTCCAGAATGCTAAGTCAGATCCATTGGTGTGGGTTGATATGTTGGAGACCTCTTTGGGAAGACGTTTTGGCTGCTGATGTGTTATTCCTTCTGATGTTTCCAGTGATCGAAGTGAACACTCTCAAGTGTCCAGAGGTTGATCCTATTCCTATTCCACATGAATGGTATCAACCAGGTGATCTCCTGATTGGAGGGATAGCTTCACAGAATCTCTATGCCTTCAGTGAACATAAATTTGATGAACATCCATCTCAGGACCTCTATGGACTTTCAGAGTAAGCAAATCCCCCACCTTTCTTCACCTAAATGTTCCTTCTTTCTTCTCAATTTTTAAAGATGATGACACCTATTCTTGTGAGTAAGGAGGTGCTTAAATAAGGGAGATTAAAATGTTATCATCTGGACTTTTGTTCCCCCATCCGGATATTTTAACAGAATAGCAGAGTTGGAAGGGACTTTGGATGCCTTCTAGTCCAACCCTCTGCTCAAGTAGAAAACCTATACCATTTCAGACAAATGGTTGTCCAATCTCTTCTTAAAAATTTCTGGTGTTGTAAGTTTATTGCATTTTTAAGATGCATTAATAATTAATGAATAGTTAATTACATTCCCTAAGACATGGAGACTTAATGAAATGAAGAAATCTTTAAAAGATAAGATTCCTCTATTAAATAAAGTAAGAATAGAATTAATTGATTTTTTTTCCAGAAAGTCAATTATATCCATAAGAAGGATACATTCAACTTTAGACAAAGGTACCAATTTACCTAGGATGCTCTTCATAACTGAAAAGATTATAAATGAGGAAATTTAGAAACTAAAGCTGTGTAAAATACAGAACTTAATAATTTTTTATCTGAAAACAGAAATGCTTATCTCAAATTATAACACAATATTTGAAGTGATGAAAAAGGCAGAAATCGATATCCACCTGAAATAGAAATAGTTAATAGTACTTAATCAATTCATCATTGCCCTAAATAACTTTCCAGGTGCAATTAAAATCATAATAAACATACTTGACATAAATAATAGATCAACATTAGCTAAAAGTAAAGATAAGTACTTCGCAGTATAAAATGTTAATTTTGTATTTGCAGCATGGGCAGAAAATAGTATTTTTCATTTTTTGTAGGAGAAGAATATAATATCTGTCTGAAATAGATACATTTCAAACATATTTTGAGTGTTCAGTGAGAACTGTAAAGCTGTGAGCTGGAGGAAATTAGAGAGAAAATGAGTTTAAAGAAAAATATTTGAACTTTGAAATGCCCATCCCTCGTGTACTAAGTTCTCTTTAAAAAAAAAGGTTGAAGTTGAAAAGTAAAGTAAGAAGAATAAGTTTAGAATTTACCTAGAGAGATATAGTTTAGATTCTTGCCACTGTTAAAAACCTGAAAATATATTATTAACATATATTACTCTGAGTGAGTAACTTTCTGTGAATAAAATATGCAGTAAAATTCTGTATGGACTGGGACTAAAAGTATTAAATAAATTAATAACATAGGCTATATTTAAAAAAAGGTCCAATCCCAATCCCAAGCAGAAATCACTATTCTTTCAGTATTATTCTACACATTATGGAATTGTTTCATGGAAGAGTTTTTTTATTTGCAGTCTGATCACAAAATTCTACCAGCATGTTCTTTCTTTGGCCTTTGCTGTCAAGGAGATCAATGAGAACCTACACATCTTGGCCAATATTACCCTTGGATTCCATATCTACGACAGCTACAACAACCCAAAGATGACCTATCGGACCACCCTGGACTTACTTTTCAAATCAGATAGATTTCTCCCCAATTATAAATGTCAACTTCAGAAAAATCTCCTGGCCATTATTGGAGGACTTGGATCAGATACTTCATCCCATATGGCAGAAATTGTAAATTTGTACAAAATTCCACAGGTGGGTCCAGAAGTGAGGGATTTATCCTCTGAATTGATTGAAAGAATTAATCAATTGATTAAGCATGCTCAAGAGCATCCTTAAGTCTTCATTGAATCTCATCTAAGACTTAAGAAGTGACTCAAAATCAAGGTTTGATTCCTTAGTGAATACTGATGATACTTTATATATGTTGAAAAAAAAATGCCCAGGAATTTAACCATATTCTCAAAATTTGAGAAATCATGGATCAGGTGTTAATTCTAAACTGTCTAACCAGTTCTTGTAGTGATCTATAAAGTGCATAAGCAAATAAAAAAACTCTCCTTGACTTCTTTGTGCCATATCTTGATGTTTCGTTTTAGCTCACATATGGATCATTTCCTATGGAAGAAATTGATATCAGTAAATCATCTTCACTTTACTTCATAGCCCCAAGCGAGACACCACAATATTTCGGGATTGTTCAATTGCTTCAATGTTTTGGGTGGAAATGGATTGGCCTCTTTGCTACTGACAATGACAGTGGAGAACATTTTTCTCAGAAATTGGAGCCCTTACTTTCTGAGTGGGGAATCTGCTTAGCTTTTACACAAAGATTCCCCAAACTATTGCGTTTGGATGACTTGGGCAAATTTAATGAAGTAATGGTTAATTTTTGTACACATTTTGCAGACATTAAAGCAAATACATTTATCATCTATGGAGAATCTTTAACATTAGCATGGTTCACAGCTTTCATATTTCTCTGGGATCCTGCATATAAGGACAATATATCTTTAAGCAAGGTGTGGATTACTACGAGCCAAATTGATTTCATGCTAACAGGAGTCCAAAAGGATTGGAATCTTCAGCTTTTTGATGGGGCCATTTCCTTTCAAATCCATTCAAGTGAAAATCTGGAATTTGAGGAATTTCTTCAGTCCATAAAACCATATTCAAGGCACAGAGATGTATTTCGAAAGCATTTTTGGGAGCAAGTGTTTGACTGTTCCTTTCCTAATTCTGAATTGTCTTCAATGGAAAGTAAAAAATGCACTGGTGAAGAGAACCTGGACAGTCTTCCGGCAGCTCTCTTTGAAATGAAAATGACGGGTCATAGTTATAGTATCTATAATGGAGTTTATGTAGTGGCTCATTCTCTTCATGATCTGCTATCAAAGAACTCCAATAAGAAAACATTCTTTGCCAGTAAAAGAGCGGAATCTCTGGAGATACAATCTTTTAAGGTAACATTTGTGAAGCAAATAGTTTTCCTTTCACTTAAAAAGAAAATATATTTTCAGATAAATGAGACTGCTTAAATCAACATAAAACCTGCAAATTTTTTAACAACCAGTTATCTGGCTGAGTAGGCATGGCCAGTTGGTCATGTGACTGGGTGGGTAACATCACTTATCACACCCTGCCCCACCTCCTGGCCACTCACCCCAAAGGCAGAGGTAGGATATAACTAGTTGGGGCTAATCCCACCACTGGCTCCACCCCATCCCTTCCTGTTTTTTTGCCATTATTTAGGTCATTCTCAGGCCATTATTTTGAGTTATTATCAGGCTGTTTTTCAGGCTGTTGTTTGGGCACATTTCAGGTGGGTTTTCATTTGAAAAATGGCCTAAAAATGCCCCAAAACCAGGCTGAAAAATGAGCAGGGGTGGCACCAGTCAGTGATGGGATTTGCCAGTTCACCGAACAGTGCAAAATCTTAACTATCAGTTCACCCAATACTATTGGTTCACCCAAAGAATACTGCACCTAGTCTTGGTCACCATATTATATAAAAAAAGATAGAGACTCTAGAAAGAGGTCAGAAAAGAGCAACAAAGAACATTAGGGGGATAGAAGTTAAAACATATGAAGAACATTTGCAGGAACTTGGGGTTGTCTAGTCTAGTGAAAAGAAGAACTAGGAGTGATGTGATGGTGGTGTTCCAATAATTGAGGAGCTGCCACAAAGAAGAAGGGGTCAACCTATTTTCCAAAGCACCAGAAGGCAGGATAAGAAGCAATGGATGGAAACTAATCAAGGTGAGAAGCATTCTAGAACTAAGGAGAAACTACCTAACAGTGAGAATAATTAACCAGTGGAACAGTTTGTCTTCAGAAGTTGCGGGTGCTCCATCACTGGAGGAATGGTATAGGGTCTCCTGCTTTGTATGGTGTTGACCTCCAAGATCCCTTCCAACTCTGTTATTTTGTTCTGTTCTAATGTTTATTTTATTTTATTTTATTGTATTTATTTATTTTTGTCAATTGCTTACAAAATAATAAGTAAAAACATAGTTATGAATACATGGATACATATAAGAAAAATAAAAATAATAAAAGAAACAATAGGACAGGGATGGTAGGCACATTGGTGCGCTTATGCACGCCCCCTACAAACCTCTTAGGAAAGGGGTGAGGTCAATAGTAGACAATCTAAGGTTAAAGTTTTGGGGGTTTGGGGAAGAAACCACAGAATCAGGTAGAGTATTCCAGACATTGACCATTCTGTTGCTGAAGTTGTATTTCCTGCAATCAAGTTTTGTGCGATTAACCTTGAGTTTGTATCTATTGTTTGCTCTTGTGTTGTTATGGTTGAAGTTGAAGTATTCATTGACAGGTATGACATTGTAATGTATGATTTTATATATTATACTTAGATCAGACTGAAGGTGGCATAGTTCTAGATTTTCTAGGTCTAGAATTATAAGTCTGGTGGCATAAGGTATTCTGCAACGAGTGGAGGAGTGGAGAACTCTTCTAGTGAAATATTTCTGGACTTTCTTAACTGTGTTAATGTCAGATACATAATGTGGGTTCCAGACTGATGTGGCTTGATTTTGGAGCTAATTTATGCCAATCTATAGTAAATCTTATCAGAATATACCCAAGGCAACCCTTAACAACCTAAATTGTCCCTTCTTTGTGATTTCTATTTTTTTAAATTAAGACATGTCTTTTTTTTCCTGAGAGCAAATAAGAGGCAGTAACTCTGAACATCAAGTGTTTCACAATTTATATTCTTTGTTTTGTATTGGCATTTTGTCCAATCAAACTGCATAAAGTATTACAGCAACATCCAATGTCACATATGTTGATTTCTCTCATTATAGTTATTTTAACTTCCTTGCTTTTTCCTTTTTCAAGTAGCTTCATCCATTTCTTAAAGGTATTTCTTTCAACAACTCAGCAGGAGAAACAGTGTCTTTTAGTGAGAAGAACGAAGTTGCAGGAAGATTTGACATCATCAATATGATTATGTTTCCAAACCAGTCCATCTGGAAGGTGAAAGTTGGAAGCCTAGATCCTGCTGCATCTTACCGAAATAAATTGATCATTAATGGAAAATTAATTGAGTGGAACAAAGGCTTTAATCAGGTATGAAACTGCATAAATGGAAAATACTTACATGGTTTCACCTTCCTTAAAAGTTTTCAGTTAAAATGTCTCCAACTGAGGGCCATGACTTACATTATGAGATGACTAGTTGACTCTTTTTGATGAAAAAAAAAAAACAGAGAAAACCCTGGCAATTATTTGTGCAACCTTTTTCATGTTATGAACAGGTTGTTCCAGTTTCTCTGTGCAATGAATACTGTCTGCCTGGATATTGGAAGAGAAAGTCTGAAGGGAAGATCTTTTGCTGCTACAATTGTGTTCCATGTCAACAGGGGAAAATTTCGAGCAAGTTAGGTCAGTTATGAACTTTTGTAAACATAGGAGAACATCAGGTAGCAAAGGAATTGTTTCATCAAATATTACAATTTGTTCTGTTGCATATATTTATTTTTAAAATTGAAGCTTTCTATCCTAAAAAAACCCAAGGAACATGATTAACCTATATAAATCTCAATTATTACTAATTTCAACTATTAATAATTTCCCAAATTCTGACATAATAAAGTGTACAGAAGCCTTTAAAATACATCTCTTCTGTAATGGTATTTTTATCTCAGATGTAGGATTACAAACTGGAATACAAACATGATTAATTTTTTAGGGGGATGTAAATCTCATCTGCAGACCAGTTATAGGTATACATATACATACATTTTATATGGTGGACATCCAAAGTGTTGCATGACAATACAACATAAATCAAAGAGGAAAAAATAGAAAATTATCTAATTAATTCTTTTAAAATTGAATGGAAAAGAATCCATATTCAACATGATATACAGTAACTATTATATTGAGGATGCTTTTAATCAATATATATTTTATGAAACTCTTCAATTTTTCATGAAAAGATATTCTTCTGTCACAGATATTTACAGCTGAGAGTAATTCTGTGGTACAGGAAGCACTAACTCATGTTAGTCTAATTTAGCAAGGTTCTCAAAATGTGAAAAATATAACAGAGCAATGCACTCTACATGGGGCTACCCTTGAAGAGCATCTGGAAGCTCCAGTTGGTGCAAAATGCAGCTGCCTGCATGTTTTTGTGCAGACCCCTGTGTGGTTCTGCCAGTGGGCCTGGGGAATCCAGAGAGGGATGGAACCCATCAGATGGCTCATGTGATCTGCTGTCATCGGGGCAGGGGGTGGGAGTTGGGGGTGATTTTCCCTTCCAGATTTTGTTCTATTGTACTTAATTAATTTATTTGCTTCTTTTTGTTAGGTTTTATTGTTTTTTATTTTAAATTTGGTTTTACACTCTGTAAGCCACCTCAAGTCGCCATGGGCAAATAGGCGGCAATATAAATTCAATAAATAAATAAATAAACAATAGCTTTCAAAATCCTTAAAACACCTAATTGAATTCCAGATATTTCAGAAAACTTGCACCAAATTGTCAGAAAAAATATGAGCAGAAGAAGAAAGAGAACAAGAAAGAGAAAATAAAGAAAATAAATATTTTAACATTTGTTTTGGATTCAGGGTTGTCATTTGAAAACTGAGTGTGCATTGTCCCCAAAAGAACTGGGAAAATGTTATATATGATACTCATGCAGAGCACTATCTGAAAATACAATTAAGACCATTTAGGAAAGCACTGTAACTGATGGAATATTTCCTGTAAAATGGAAAAAACCCACAATAAATTATATTATGTATAGATCACAGTGTATTAGATGAGGAGTGGTGTCTAGAGGTGAAGGTCTCATCTCACAATCAGAAGGCTGTGAGTTTGATCCTAGGTAGAGGCAGATATTTCTCTCTCTGGGCCCACTGAGAATATATCTACTGACAAAACTCTGCAGTGGTGACAGGAACAGCATCCAGCCATTAAAACTCTCTGCTAACTCCATTCAATTGCCCAGACTGCACTCTGCAAGCAATTATGGAGTTCTTAACAAAAGATGATGATGACAGTGTATTAAATGAAATAACCATTGGAATATAAGTATTTAGGCAGCTAATAAAAGATGAACATCAATTCATTAAACAATATTAAAACATTTGTTAAAAAAGGATAAATGAAAATAAATGAATTTCATTTTGATCCTTTATCTAGATACAGAAGATTGTTCCAAGTGTCCTGAAGATCAGTATCCAAGCAAGGAACAAGATCGATGCCTTAACAAAACAATGAGTTTCCTGTCCTTTGAAGAACCTTTAGGAATCAGTCTGGCCTCAGCTGCTGTTTCCTTTTCCTACATGACAATCAGTGTGCTTGGAATTTTCCTTAGGCATAGAGATACCCCCATCGTCAAGTCCAACAACCGGGACCTCTCTTACACACTACTCATTGCCCTTTTACTATGCTTTTTATCTTCCTTGTTATTCCTTGGACAACCAAGGAAAGTAACCTGCCTTCTCCGTCAACCAGCAATTGGCATCATCTTTTCAGCTGCTGTTTCTTGTGTGTTAGCTAAAACTATTACAGTGGTTGTAGCTTTTATGGCTACTAAGCCAGGTTCTTCAATGAGAAAATGGGTGGGGAAAAAATTGGCCCTTGCCATTGTCCTTTCTTGTTCTCTTCTTCAAGCAGGTCTTTGCATTCTGTGGTTGGCAAAATCTCCTCCATTCCCTGAGTTAGACATGCACTCCCTTATAGAAACCATGATTTTGCAATGCAATGAAGGCTCCATCTTCACATTCTATTGTGTCCTAGGCTATCTGAGCATCTTAGCTATTGCCAGCTTCATTGTGGCTTTCCTTGCCCGTAATTTACCTGACAGCTTTAACGAAGCCAAGTTCATCACTTTCAGCATGTTGGTCTTCTGCAGTGTATGGATCTCCTTTGTTCCAACCTATCTGAGCACCAAAGGAAAAGCCATGGTGGCTGTGGAGATCTTCTCCATCTTGTCTTCCAGTGCTGGGTTATTGGGATGTATCTTCTTCCCAAAATGCTTCATTATTGTGTTGAGGCCAGAACTAAATAGCAGACACCAACTAATAAAACGAAATAATTAAATTATGTTTACATTATTTTATTTTTTCTATTAGCATAGAAAAAAATAAAGACTGCCCCCTTTTTAATATTTCTTCCCAATATTTGTATTTCGTGAATGTAATGTCTCCTCCTTTAATTTCCTAAATCTATTCTTCCCTCAGTTATTGAAGTAGTGATTCTACAATGCAATGAAGGTCACTTTTCATGGTTTATACTTGATCCATACAGGATTCCTGGCCTTCTGAAACTTCATCATGGCTAAACAATGGGCAGCAATCAATAAAAATAATTATTCAAAATGCATTTTCCCTAATGTATTGTCGAGTTCTTATATGTTAGCCGCTAAGAGAAGTTGTGTCTTCAATTTAGATCATTATAATATGAAATATATTAGTCATATAATTTCTGAGATTTTTTTAATGAAACATAAATGCTATACTATTTCAATCCTATCAAATCAGATTTAAATGAAAATAAATAAAATGAAATACATTTATTAATTTATTTATTATTCCCTGATTTTTTAATCTCAAGTCTATGTTTAATTGATTAATTGATTCTCTCTTAGTTTCAAATAGGTGACACAGATTTTGATGAGGGCAAAAAAAAAAAGTACTTCAAAATTAACCAGGCTAAAAAGAGAGAAACAATGAATTTTTGAATGATATGATAGAGCAGGGGTGTCAAACTCATGGCATCACAGCAATGTCATTTGATGTATTGGGACAAATTTCTCCTTCACTAAACCAGACATGGGTGTGCACAGCGAGTTTCACAGCCCTGTGATAAAGTAAGAAAATTCTGCACTTTGACT